TACATCATATACTCGAAAACATCTAACAAACAAATTACTAACGATTTTCTACTAAATTTAATTTATATTATTTTCAAAAAAAAAGGGTTATGAAGAAATTTCTTATTAACTGTGAGTTACATCTACAAATTCCGTTATTCACACACCCAGAGTTGGTTCAAAGAGAATTCGAGATATTTTCATAATCCATAACTAAATACTACGAACTACAAATTGGGATTTTGATTCCTAATAAGAGGATACATATGCATACGACTTAAAAACCGTGGCGAGTTCCCCTAACTAAAAAATTAAAATCCTATTTTTAAACCTTAAATTTAAACACTAATATCCTTGTAAACAAGATAGATGAAAGGTGTCTACCACATTTCCTTCGTCTAAAGTGAGTTAAAAATTTAAAATCTCTGTATTGATTTATGATTATTCTATTATATTCTCATTCTTAAAATAAAAATGATGGTAACGACTCTATATTTTCAGTCAATATTACACCTCCATTTTTTTTTAATTGGAATAGAACATTTTTCAACATATCTTCAAGTTTGCACATTTGTTTGTCAAGTATACACTATTAAGGAGCTAGTTTCCTCGATTGTTTTTTTACAAAATCTTTAGTGACAGTATTGAATTATGAAATATACATTATTTAGTCTCTTGGACTCGTAATGAATGATTTAATTTATCTTCTCACAAATTAAAATATTATTACTTAAAATAATATTAAATATATTTTTTATTTCTATCAATATCTCAAATTTCATTTTTAATTTCTATTAAAAAAATTATATATTTTAATCTCTATAAAATTTTTATTTATGAAGTTTTAGTTATTATTATTTTCTAAAATTTTAAAAATCATTTAATTATTCTTAAACTTTTAAATTTTTAAATAAATTTTTTCATATTTATTTAGAATACTATAAAATATTTATTTATCAACAATTTTTTTAAATTTTAAAATATATTGATGAAAATAATGAAAATCTCGATTTAGAAATTAAATTATAGATTTTTTTTTGAGAAATTTTTTCTAACGTTCTAAACGTGTATGCAAAACAATCATTCAAAATTACACGTCAATTTAACACAAAAAACTGAAATTATATATATAATAATTTTGTATGGACTAAAACATATCATATTTTTTATAGAGATAAAAAATAAAATTTAATCATAAATATAAAATTTGTCCAAAACACCCAACTAATTGACTGCAATTTGGATTCCCTTGATTCAAAAATCCCATCCCATGCAGATGTGGCTTATTTTTGTCATTGTCTCCCTTAATTCTCTCTCTCTCTCCAAATTCTCTGTTCCCGACTGATGGTTGTATAAGTATGAATCCTGGTCATTTTCAAGTGCTATTATTTGAAGGAAACACAATAGTCAGATCAACATCATTTTCATTTCGTAAATGATCCTTCCATTTTCAGTTTATGGTGGGCGAATATAAAGGCTTTTGATGGCTGTATATTATCTTTAAAAAAATCCATGAATAGAATCAAGCTAAAATAATCAAATTATTTTATTTGGTTAGTGAATCACGTTATTTTAGTAACTCTTCTAAAACCGAACCAAATTAAAACTAATTAAACATAAACCAAAACTCAACCATTAATTTTAATACATTAAATAATTGAAAACTGAACTCGTTGAAACTTAAAACCAAAAATTGGAAACTGAACTCGTTGAAACTTCTGAACCAAAACTTGAAAAATTGTTTGAAGAAGAACCCTAAATTCCCAAATCGCTGAAGCTTCAAAGATGAAGAATCCTAAATTCCCAAATCATTGAAGATCCGTTCCCTTTCTCAGTCGCATTTCATCTTCATTACCAAATCGTAAGCTCCTCACCTCGTCTCCGTTCCGCTCCAGTTCAGCTTTTTCAGCCATCTCCATAATACTGTGTTCATTTTCATCCTTCAAAGGTTCATAATCGAAGACCGTAAACTCAAAATCAAAAGCGAAGGTAGCAAAAGGGTTTCTTTCTTTTGTGCTTGGATTCTCTTTTATTGGGTTAGGGTATTTTTTTATTTATCATATTTGTGTTTGGTTACTGTGATTTTGAAGGTGTTTTTCAACACCCAAACTTGGTTTATTTGTTTGGAGCTGTGAATTTTGGTTTGGTCTATTCCATTATGATGAATTATTCATTTATATAGTTGTGTGAATATGATTTACAGTCCCATTTAAGATTTCAATGTTTGACAATACAATGAATGTAGATTGTCTGTAATAAATGGCCTATATAGGATCATTTTGAGTTTCTGTTCTGAGTTTTAGAAATTTAAACATGTTACTGCAGGGTAACAAGAAATAGTGATGTGAAATTGCTTTGAATTTAATGATGTGTTGTTTTGCTTCTGTTACCTAGTGGTTGTGATTTTAGGCAGGACCACATGGGAAGCTATGTCTGGTTGAAAAACTAGTTTCTGTGGGTATTAACCATTGTTGCTATGGTTATTTTGACTAGTGTTGAAGTATGCATTAACAACAACTTATTTGACTAGTGTAATATAGTTATAAGTAAACCAACCAACTTGTGTTAGTTTAGAGTTACCGTTGGTTACAATCTCTTAGACGATAGTTAAAGTTGAGCTAGAAAAATATGCACCTATCCTTGAGTTGAGCACAATAGGTTTGACATATTGACATGAAATTCAGGAGTACAAGTTAAGTGTGTCATCAAATAGAAAAAAATTTTAACCATATTATTTTTACAGGAAGAAACTTATTTTTTTCATTAAAAGCAAATTCCACCACACTTATTAGTATGTACTCTAACTGTGGGAATAGTTTGCGGGCATCACACTTTATTGAGATGCCTGGAAAGAATTCAGCTATATTAGTTTTTGCATATGGTGCATAATCGTTTTTGGAGATTGATTGATTCTCATGGATGCAGCAATATTAATTCTTTCATTGAATTCACATCAAATTGTCAAATCCAAACAAATAAGAGAAATTTGCAAGTCTGTATTATCTTTTGTAAGAATTTATGTGTTTCAATAACTCTAACTCAAACTTAATACACAACCCCTCATAAAAATTACTCTGCAGTGAAATTTGAGATAGACACAATGTTTTATTGAATTGAGGGGTCTCTTTTTAAAGCCAATATTTTATTACATGCCCAAAGACATTGTTTTCTTCTGTCTTGTCAGTCTCTGATTAGATGGTTCAAATATCTAGGGGACTGCTACTAAACTTGTTATTGGATATTATTAAGTTTATGTATTCTTTTTTTGTGCTCAACTCATAATTTTTTCAAGAGGTTTGTCCTTGCACATCATTTTTTCTTATATATACTATATAGTTTTTCGTTTGAAAGATATTTTGTCGTCATACTAGATGTAGTTTTCCTCTTTTTGGTAATGAAACCTTTTTTCATAGAATTATTATTCATATTCATACTTTATCTTTATATAGAAGTAGCTTTTATTGGATAAAGACTTGGGAGTTTACAGTTCAATTCTCTAGTTCATCCTGTTACAATGCTAGTGAAATTTGTGGTGAATCTTTCAGTAAATTTGTAAATTTTAGTGCATCTATAATTTCTCAAGCTTTGCTTTACTTCTATAGACTTTATGATTTTAGTTCTAATTTGTTATTGTTTTTTATTAAATAGATGATAGAGAAAGTAGAACATACAAATCTTACAACTTCAGCTAGCAATCATGATGAAGCTATATTGCCTCCACATCCCAAAGAAAAAAAATATCAATTGCGGTCTTTTTGGTTTGCCTCTGCTACGATTTCTCCATCTTCGTTTAATATCCGAAAACCATGAGATTAACTTTTCTTCTACCTTTTCTATTATAGTTACCATTTAAATCATAGACAGTGCAACCATTAAAGTGGAGAACATGTGATTTCATCCATATTGTATATCTTTTTTCACTTTTATTAGTGACACTGAACATAAGACTCTAAGGATAAACTCTTGGACCTCTTTTCTATTATTGGTCCTGCATAATTTTTTATTTTTGATTAATCTGTCAAGATTAGATACATCAGTTAATCTTGATGATGATGACTTTATAAGTTAAAAGAGATTCAAAACATCCTAATTTAATTTTAATTACTATTTTTGTGTGAAAGTTGTAATTAAATATTACGGCAAGTTTGTATTGACTTTTTCAGACTTATCTACTGAGGTAAGTTTTGTTACATTGTTAGGGAGACTTTATCAAATACTTTATAAGCTTTAATTCAATTGGATGATTCAGCTCAGTTTAGTTCAGTTTTTTTAACAGAAGTGTACCATAATCAACCCTATTGATAAGAGTGATTCCATCAAATTAACAATCCCAACAAATGAATTGCAGATCAATCTCCAAAGAGTCCGAGGAGGGTAAAATTCATCTACTTACTGTAATGTGTACAAGGTAAATAAAGCACTAATTCTATCGATTCTCTTCCTAACCTTTCTGAAGCATCCATCTATCTATCCTCCCCTACTAGAAAAATTATCACCACGTGTTACTCGCAATTCTCTGGCCTGCAACTGCTTTTGATTATTGTCCAAACCCTTGGGTTGAACGGGAGAATTATTGTCATATTGTAAATCCTGGAGCAGGTGTTAGTCCCAATACAATTTGCAATTCCCACACACTTCGCAATGCAAATCCTGGAGCAGGTGTTCTTAATTCCAATCCAATTAGCAATTCCCACACTTCACAATGCAAATCCTGGAGCAGGTGCTCTTAGTCCCAATCCTATTAGCCATTTCCCCACTGAAACCAACAATCAACGTCCACAACTGTCCACAACCCCTGTAGCAAAAATTAATGGCATTCATAAATTTGGTCGGCTATGCTATCTGCATCACATTTAAGTCATAACAAGAAAAGATAGATACTATAAATCTATCAAAAAAATTGTGACATATACCTACCCAAACAATCAAGCACTACAGCAATGAAGTAAACATTTCTTGACCCGCCATCCGGCATTGAGGAATTGGTCTAGATGACCATTAGTTCCAAAACCCACGCCCTGCTACAAGTGACCATTGTCTGCTTCAGAATCACTTCCAGAAGAACTTCCAGAATCTGAATCTGCAACAGGATCAGAATTGAGATTCCTACCCAAGACAGTTACAGAATCCAAACAACAAAACAATAGTAAAAAAATGTTATACCACTGGATGATGATGAATCACTACCAGAACTGCTGGAACTACTGCTGGCATGGCCACCAGCACCACCCATATCTCTATCTTTCTCAATCTCCACAGGGGGGAAATTGTTAACCGGCATATCATCGCCAATGTCAACATCTTCATCAACTGTCTCTATCTTTTTCTGCTTTTTCCCCTCAGCTGGCACTGCTGCATCAACTTTCTCCCTGTCAGACAACTCCTGCCAATGCAAACAACAAAATTAGATTGTGACAAAACACCATCAACAATGCTACCTTGCAGAGTAACATCATTAACAGAAGAAAATATGGACAACAAGGTTTTTACCCCATTGCCTCTGTTTGAAGGCACATTATTATTATCCATTAGCGCCTGCCGCTTAATCTTGCTCACCATCTTTTTCCAATTTGTCACTAATCGATCAAGTTCCCAGAGAGTCTCCGTGTCAACAGCCTCCATATCTAGCTCAATCTCATCTCCATCCTGCTCCAAATGACCATTTCTCTTCCTTATGATCTGCACCACCTGTTCCATTTTCTCTGGCGGTAAAATCTGCAACCCAAGCCCCAACTTGTGTTTTTCCTCATTATTCATCTCCCTTTTGTTCGGATCCCTTGCCTTTGGCTTGGGCTGCTTCAATGGCTTCACCGGAAGTGCACGCATTGGAGAAGGCGTGCGCACTGGAGACTGCACTATTGGTGGGTTGGAAGTGCTTGGCTGATTAGAAGTACTGGCAAGCTCAGGTGGTGGCTCTTGCCGGTTAACTACAGGCGGAGGGATTGGAATCAGAGCATCTTTCTTCTTGACCTTCTCCCTCTCTGGCTCAACATAGTTCCATGAGCTGGCCTGTAATTCATCATCAAAACCACGTTCTTCAAATTTCTCATGTATTGGACGATAAAGCTCTTCAAACTTCATAAGTAACTGCATCGCCGCAGTGTTGACATCATGACCCTTGGGATTGTAGGTCAATGCATTGTTGAAGGTTAGCCGCACATCGTAAGCAAAATCCTCTGGCAAAGAGTAAGCATTCTGAGCTAGTTTAGTCTTTACCGTTCCCAGATCCATAGGATGCTTAATTATTTCGAAATAATCGTGAATTCCAAAAGCAGTTACATCAACAGGATTGTTAAAGATCCAACTACTTTTATTTTTCCGCAGCTTCATCAAAATCTGACCACAAGCCTTCATCAGATCCCCAACCTCCGGCTGTGATCTCTTCAATTCCCTCGCCGGAAAAGGCCGTTTGTTGCCGGAGACCTTCTTGCTACTTGATTTCTTTGGGGGGCCACCACCGTTGTGGCTAGGTCTGGGTCTAAAATCGCCTGATTCAATTCGAATCTTGAGCTGTCGAATTTGTTCAAGCTCCGACACAAGACGGTTTTTAAGCTCGTTGAGCTCCGTCTTGGTGTACGAAGCGATGTTGAAGGTAAGGTATTGTGAATGATTGGCCACCACGTCATTGGATCGCCGGTTGATTGATGAAGCATCATCAGACGGCGATTGAGTCCTCTTATTGTTACCAAATTTAGGGTTAGGGTTAGCGTAAGAAACTTTACCCATGTATCCTGCTCCACCGCCTCTATGCTGCGGCCAATTCGGTTCGTTACGATTGGCTAGGACTGCGGATGCCATGTAAATGCAGAATCAAGGCCGACCGGTGAGACTCCGGCGAATCTCCGGGATGAAATTCCCAATGCGGATCGTACAGGACATGAATATAATGAGCTCGTACGAACACGCGCAGGTGAGAGATCCACGCGCCGTTTGGAAACCTCACGCGCCACCGACGGAGAGACGGCCTCTGGATCCGGAAAGAGAAGCGAGGAGAGAAAAAGAGCGTGTAGGGTTTGGAATTTCGATTACCCTAATCTGAGCGAGAAAGAGAAGGGGCTTGAGCCACTTCTTAAAGGCGATGAGATCTGCCCGAGGATGTTTCGGGTAGTTTCTTTTGCCCCTGATTCGTTCCAATTCGTCCATCCAACGGTAGTAACTGTTTCTGTGTTTGCCCGTGAAAGTGACCGAAAGATCTGGCATGAACGGTTGAGATCGTGATTTTTCTTCCACGTGTGTGGCTTTATGCCGTTGATCAAGAGGTGGTGATGCTGGAAATTCTCTTGGTTGATGGGCTTATCGACCCGACCCGATTATAAAATAATGACGTGGCATAATGTTATGAAAGGAATAAAACGTTACGCACCACACACGGCGCGTAAAGGCTTGGACGGTACCGTTTGGATGTGAGGGTAGTTTAGTAAAGGAGCAGTGAACGTGGAATATTATATGAGAGGAGTTACACACTGGACGTGGAGGACTAATTCCTCCTTCCTGATCCTGAATTTTCACTCAACCATACTATTTGATTATTTGATTAATTCTTAAAATAGAAACTAGAGACTTTAATAAGTACTGTAGAAGATTTTTTCTAGGAACACTTTAAAAATATTTAATTGCGGTTAATTATTTTTAAATTTTAATTATAATATTAAAAAATTATGTGATTAAATTTTCAAAAAAAAATTATTATTTTATCTTTTATTCTAAATTTTGACCATTCTCATAAATATTTATGGATATGAGTTTTTCTACTTGGATTAATAATATATAATATCGACTGCTTTTCTAAATTTTGTATTTATTTTAATTGAATTTATGTATAACTATGATTTTACAATTTCAATACATAGATCACGAGTTTTTTTTAATAAATGACTTCCAGTGCTTGATAAAAATCGTCATTTGAAGTCAATTTTTATAAGTATAAACAAATTTTATTTAATTTTTTTCATTATTTTTGGAAGTGAACTATAGTTATATAAATGATGGAAAGTTTAAAAAATTGACTTCTTTTTTATAAGATAAAATTTGGATGAATCTAACATATTTATTTATTTTTTACCTACAGTTGATGTTTGTACATACTAATTATATATTTTTTTCCGAAATTATATTTGTATTAATTTAAAATAACATACATTATTTCGTAATTATGAAACACTTTAACTTTGAAATTTGCTTGGTTCATATTTTATTTTAAGGTTTGGCTGAAGCGAAGTGTTCTCGTATTTCTTCTATAGAATAATGTTCATATGAAGAATAAGTATTCAGTCGACTTTTCTGAAGACAGTTAGGGAGAGTTTATCAGAGTAAATTTATGAGATAATTATGGGATTTATGAGTTATAGTAGTGATATGTGCGTCTCAAAATGAATGTCTTGCTTATCTCTCATGTGGGAACTCCTTTATATAGTGAGTACCTTTACTTCATCGAGAGCCTCGGTTAATGAGTGATTCTTGAGTTCCATAACTGTATAACCACTGTCGTCTCCATGAATGAAGATGACTAGTGTTATATAACGTAGTAATGAATGTGCCGCCGACGGTTATAGGCTTTAATGAGCCGAGATGATGATCGGTCATGAGCAGGTGCTACCCTGTTATCCACTTCGGCTGAGTCCAGGGTGAGTGCGAGTTGCTACCCGGGTCCATAGGTTGCCTGGTACTCCCTTAGCCGAGTTGCTCCCCGAGTGCCTTCACCCTAAGCTGACTATTAGTTTGTCTTTTTCTTTTGTCGGTTACGCTACCCGGTAGGGACTGTTATTTTTGGGATGTACATAAGCCCCTCGAGTTCAAGTCCTCTCTTTGTGAGGACGTCGTATTCGATCACGTAGTCATGGAAGATAACCCGGGCATTGTCGGGTTGCTGCCCTTTTCTGACCCACGTGTTGTGGAGCGAAGAGTCGCTTATTTTCTCTTTCTGAGGTAATGATGACCTCCACCTAAACCTCTGTTCATTGGGAAACGCTTCCCATGCCTAGCGCACTGTTCCCTGGGCTCTATTAAAGACCTTATTTTCTTATTTCCTTTTCCATCTTGGTAATTGTAGAAGACGATTATCTTTGCAAAAGAAACGTTTTTTCTCTCCTTCAAGTGTCTCTCCCTTTTTCCAGGTATTTCTTCTTTTACTCCTTCATTTACGTTTTTGTTTTTTAGATTATGGTCGTATTGAGAGAGTGTGATGATGAGGGAAACACTGTGAAACCCTATAGTGCTAAAGAAAGAAGAGGGTTATGGGACCAGTCATACGAGAAATGAGTGTCGCTCTAGGTCAGGAGGAGTTTAATCGGATCACCCAAGAGGTGTATGGTTTTATCCTTTCTTCGTTGAGTGATTATGACCATGATTCTTCCTCCTCATGTTCCGTAGAGCTTCTGATGGCCGCTTCTGCCCCTTTTAACGTTGAAGACACGGGTTACAAGAACAATGTACTTGATGATACAAAGATTGCAAAAATTAGGTCTTTGATGAGGGTCTCCTCGATTGGGGAGGAAAGCGATGTTATCCTAGAATCATGTGTCCCAGGAGATCGCGTGTGTGTGCTCTGTCGAAAGGACACTGACGAAGATTTATTTTATTTCTACATCGGGGTTTTGGAATATTTTCAAGTCCGTATACCCTTTTCCGAGTTTGAGGTCGGTGCTCTGGAGGCTATGAATGTCGCGCCCTCATAGCTTCGCCCTAATAATTGGGGTTTTATAAGGGCCTTCAAAATTATTTGTGAGGCGATGGACATCATTCCTACGATCGGTCTATTCTTCGCTTTCTATGAGGTAAAGAGGGCCGAGAGCTTTCATGGATTCAGATCAATGGCCTTCCTCACAGAAGCTTCCTCTAGGTGTATACCTATAATTACAAAGGTTTCAAGGATCAATTTCTGAAGGTGAAGTGTGGGTTGAGGTGCCCCCAAGTGTTATATGCTTTGGGTGGGCAACCCTGTTTTCCTTTCTACTGGACCCGAAATTCTTCTCCCATATATGGTCTTTACATTTAAGAAGTTGAGCAACTTGGAAGTCCAGGCTTTAACCGTTCTTGATTCCTTCCATATAATGAAGGTCAAAGACTTATTATCTCTATTCGTTGAACAGATCCCCGACTTCCTCGATAACAACCTTTATTTTTGTTTAGACCATCATATATTCTTATGCAATATTTTACATTGTCTTTTTCTTTTCTTGCAGATAAGATGACAAATCTTTATGTGACTGAGCATAAGAGGTTGATGATGGAGGCAAGGGCTTCCTGGAGGACTGCAGGTGGGACCTCCGTGATTAAGTCGGATGTATCCGGGTTGGAGACTCAGACATCAAAGAAGCATAAAGGGGTAGGCTTTAAGGCTACTTCTAGTGTGCCTAAGCCCCAAGTCTCCATCCCGGGCATCCTAGAGGAGGTACAACAAAGCACTCCCAAGATGATGAAGACCCTGATTAGTGATAAAGCCTGTTGAGCTGACATGGAGATCACTTCTCTGATGGGAGAACCCGGGAACAATCATGCTTCTGGGGAATTTAATTTTTGGTCCAACAGCTTCGACAGGCTCCGATTCTTGTATGATCATCTCAACGCAACCGAGGACGTCAACAAGGTGAAGTTCATTGGTCGTCAGCAGATGACGCAGAATCTTAACTCCTATCTCATGAGGTGTGTCGTCTTGACCTGTGGTCTCTTTGAGTCTGCGGATGATCATGAGTAGACGAAGACGGAGTTGAAGGAGGAGATAACTCGCTTGAGGGAAACCCATAAGGTTCAGTCTGAGAAGTTGTCTGTCACGGAGAAGACCTTGGTGAAGGAGAAAGAGCTTCGAGAGACTCTGGAGTTTGAGAATAAAGCCACTCTTACCCACTTGATGAGCAGTTGAAGGCAAAGAAAACCACCAATGACGAGCTGAAGGCTACTATTGTTGAATTAAAAGAAGCTCTGAAGAAGTCTCGGGTGGACGTTCTTTCTGCTGGTGATGAGGCTTTTGAGCGAGTAAAAGATCAAGTGTTATGCCTTCATCCCGGCTTGGCCATATCAGAGATGGACTTTTTCAAGGTGGTGCAGGATGGCCGACTAATTCATCTTGAAGAAGTGGAGAAGCCTCCCTCTCCTCAGTTGAATCCTGAGGATCCTACTGTCGAGGAAAATGTCAATAATGATGCTGAGAAGGAAGACCATTAGTGATGATATTTTGATGATGTTTTGATGTTGTTATGTTGGTTCTTTTAGTCATCCGATAAGAATGCACTTATGTAATGATTTTTGTAAGGAGTGATTTTGCCATCCTTTTTTGTTGCTTTTGAACTATTGCCTTCGGGATTATCGCCTCCAGGCTTTGTACTTTTGATGGCTCAATGTGGCCTTTTATGTAATCGTTGATGTTGTACCCCAAAATTTTCCCTCCCTTTTCTTCAAGACATTTCTCACAAAAGGTCCTTAAATGCTCAAGAAGTCTCAAGAGTTGATCAAACAAGCTCACCTCCTAAGCATTGGGTCCAAATTAAGGTTTTGGTTTTCTCAAGGACAATTGGATTTATAATTCCTCAAATGACTTTCATGGTTCATTATAGGTCTCCAATATTTCTCATACCAAGTTTCAAGTCTTACACCATAAATTTGCTCAATCAATTGCTCAAATGACTGAAAATTAGTTGTATTGGGTAAAAAGTCAATTGTGGTCAACATATAGTCAAAATTCATGATTTTTGGCCAACATCAACATTTTGAAGTCATATTCATCAATTGATCAAGGGTTGATCACAATTCCTCAAGAAAAGCACTCAAATCATCAAAGGGGCAAAATTATTAAAATTAGGGTTTTGATTGAGAATGACTGATCAATGACTTTTGACCTAGTACATGACCTAATGGCTTGAAACATGATCTCAAGGGCTCAAACACAATATCTTGACCTAATTCTATGGCTCAAATCATTTCTCAAGATCAATTGATTGGTAGTTGAAATTTGGATCAATTGATGAAAAGTCAACTGATACACAAAAAGTCAAACTTTGACTTTTTGGTCAACATTGAATTTAAGAGATCAAGATTCATAAAGACCTTCAAAAATATCAAACTTGATCATCAAGAATCAAGAAAGTCAACAAAATTCAAGATTTTAAAGACTTAGAAAAATTCTAAGTGTTTTTTAACCTTGATAATTTTACTACTTCATGACAAATTTTCACCAAGATGCAAGATGATTCAAGGAAAACTTTCAA